GCCTCACAGAAGGAAGCACCGCCCCTCCCCCACGGCGTGCGCCAGCCTCCTGCCAGCCTGTCGTGCAGCCGGGACCCTCTAGGCACTGACGGCCTGGAGCCCTGCTTTCTTACCTGTAAAATCGGGGATTGGGCTGCACAATCTCTAGGATCTAAAGTGGAAGGAATTGGTATTGAACTAAACAAAAGTGTGTTTAAAGCCCATGTTTGGTGTTGACTTTGACAAGGGGCCCCCGAGAGATGCAGCCAGGGCCCACCATATCCCAAGTTCCTAGTGGCCAAGTGAGGGGCACAAGGGGCCGGTTGATACTGGGTCCAAACGAGCCGCACATAGGAGGTCCCAGCAGCTCCAGGAACGGGCACCGAGGACCACAGGGAGCAGCTGGTCCTGGTCCTGGGCACGGCAGGGCCTACGAGGTGCCTGTGGCCCCAAAGAAACCAGGCAGAAGGAACCAGGGTGGCAGCTGCCACTCAGCTGTCACCAGCCTGCTGGTTTCTGAGGACCCCAAGGACCTTGTCTGGGGCTCCTCCCCCACCCAGGGCTCTTGTCCTCCTTGGGGCTCCTGCCCCTGTGCTACTGCGTCACCGGCAGCTCTAACCCCTCCTTCCTAGTGCCTCCGTGTAGCACTTGGTGGTAATTTTGTCATTAGTGACACCCCCAAAGCAGAACACAAAGCCATGGTCCCCACGACTAGATCAGGGTCTGGTCTGGTCTGGTCTTGGTGAATGTAGATAAACCCGAGCCTGACCCTTCTGGGTTAAGTGCTAGTGTCTGACCCCAGAGCCCAGTGGGCGTGCCCCCCACAGGAGGTGGCTCCCCTCCTCATCCGTGGGAAAGTGGGGACAGAGAAGGGTCACATGAAGGTCTTGCATGTAGCCTGGTGCACTTTCCAGACATGGTTCCCTGGGCTCTCTGAGAGCCCAAGTCTACCTGGGCTCTGGCACAGTGCTGGGGGAGGCTTGGGGAGGCTGAGTGGGCATAGGGGTGACTGGGGAGCACCAAGGTGGGGGCGATGACATCCCATGTGGCTGGCCCCCAGGCCCAGCAGGTCAAGGCACAGGTCAGGACCCTGTTCAGCGTGCTCAACTACGAGCGGGGGCGGCGGCCCGGCCTCCTGGGGGCCTCCATGCTGGGCATAGATGACATCTACAGAGCCTGGCGGGCCTTCGTGCTGCGCCTGCGGGCCCAGGACCCCACACCCAGGCTGTACTTCGTCAAGGTGGGTCTGCCCTGCCCTCACGTCCTCAGGGTCTGGGGTCTGGGGGTCAGCAGGATCCTGCAGTGGATGGGTGTGTGCAGCCAGGATGGTACACGGGCAGGGGGCTCAGGGTCTCCCTGGTCCTCCTGCATCTGATTCACTGCAGGGTTTGCTACAGACAGGTTGGGCCCACGCTCGGGGGGGAACAGAACTGTGGGGCTTTGACCTCGTGGGGGCCAGGTGACATGAGTCGCTGATGGTCCTCACCTCAACTCACACAGGTGGACGTGACGGGGGCCTATGACACCATCCCCCAAGACAGGCTCGTGGAGGTGATCGCCAGCATTATGCAGCCCCCAGAGAACACGTATTGTGTGCGCCGGTATGCGGTGGTCCAGAGAACAGCCCACGGGCACGTCCGCAAGCTCTTCAGGAGACACGTAAGGCCCACAGCAGGCGTGTGTTCCATGATGTTCATGATAAAGGTGTGCCCGTGGTGCGGATGTGTCTGTGGTACAGATGTGTCTGCAATATAGATGTGGCTGTGGCATGTGTCCATGATACAGGTGGGTCCGTGACATGGTCAGGTTCATGATTCATGTGTATCCATGATTCAGGTATGTCTGCACCATTGGCGTGTCTGTGGCGTGTGTGTCTGGCATATGTGTATGCATGGCACAGGCATGTCCTTAGTGTGGGTGGGTGTGTTTTAGGCATGTTCATGACACATGCATGTCCATAATGTGTGTGTTTGTGGTGTAGGCATGTCCATTTCATGGTGTGTGCAGCCCCGGCCTGCCCGGTGGGTGCTGAGCAGAGCCTCCTGGGAGGTGCCTCTGCCCCTGTCTGCAGGCATTTTTGTGTTGTGTGGCAAGTTATGCGTTGAAGGTCCTCTCTTCCCGTGGCCAGTAACTCCTGTGCTGTCCCAGCATCAGGGCCTCGGGTTCTGCAAGCCAGGTCCAGGCAGGGAGGAGGGCCATAGTGGCGTCCCCACGGCCATCCTCCCTAGGAGTCCCATGCCCAGCTGTGCCATGCAGAGGGGCTGAGTGTGCACCGTGCCAGTTCCATGAGGGCAGGAGGGCCCACGACGCAGGGAGTCGCTTGCTCGAGGGCCCCTCCCAGGGCGACTGGGTCTGAAGCCTCAGCAGAGCTGAGCAGAGCACCTGGGATTTGGGCTCCCGGCCAGTGGTTGTGAGCACTCTGGGGTAGGGGGACTCAGCACTGTGCCCAGCGGGTGGGGAGGGGGGACGTGCAGAGGGGAAGGATCTTCCTGGAGCCTGAGGTCTGGGGAGAGGCAGGTAAATCCCACAGGGATGTGTTTATTTTCTTTTCTGTTGAATCAAGACTTATGCAGGTATCGTTATCAAACCATTTGTACCACCCACGCAACTTTATGTCTGTGGGCACCTGGTGGCCAGCACCTGCATCAAGGTGCAGAGAACCAGCAGCACCCAGGAGACCCCCTCGCTTCCCCCCCTGCTAAAGCCCTTCCCCAAGGTGACCCCAATCCTGACCTCCCTCCCCGTGGACACACTTTACTTGTCTCCACATGCGTGAAATTGGGCGGCACATGATGTTCGGGGTCAGGGGTCGTTAACTCTGGAGAGACTGAGATTCGGCCGTGTGGCAACGTGCGGCCCCCACCTTCCAGAGTGGCGTTCCGTGTGCGCAGCTCCATGGCAGTGGATGCTTCAGTGGTTCTGGGCTTGGGCTGTTCTGAACGATGCCGCTGTGAACATTCTTGGTTGGTGTCTTCAGTGCAGAAACCCTCACTGCTGGGTGACTCCCAGGGGTGGGGCTGCTGGGCCACAGCCGTCCTTTTGTTTACTTTAGTGACACTGCCCAAGGGTTTTCTGGCATAGTTGCAGGGTCACACTCGCCAACACTCGGCAGCGTGAGCCCTGGAGGCCACAGCGCGCCTGACGGTGCTGGAGCGGTCCTGTGAATGTCCGTTAGCATCTTCGTGACGACCGGGATGCTGAGTGCCTCCGTGTGTGCGACAGCTTGGACATCCTCGTTGCGAGATGCCTGTTCAAGCCATTTCCCCAGTTTGTAAGGGCTGCAGCCTCTCTTGTGATTTCTAGGAGCTCTTCACATGTTCTGTGCACAAGGCCATCGTCGAATGCTCCTCATTGCGAGATGCCTGTTCAAGCCATTTCCCCAGTTTGTAAGGGCTGCGGCCTCTCTTGTGATTTCTAGGAGCTCTTCACATGTTCTGTGCACAAGGCCATCGTCGAATGCACGTGTCGTGCAGAAGTTTTAATTTTAGTGCAGTCCACTTTATTGTTTACGGCAAAAACCGTTATGCTCGAGAAACCTGCCTGCCCCGGGTTGTGCCGACGTTCTTCTGCGTTTTCTTCTAGAACAACGTCCGTTGCTTTAGCTTTCACAGTTGGGTCTAGGATCTGTTCTGAGTTCATTTCCGTGCGTGGCGTGAGACAGAGGTCCAGGTAGACCTTTCCCCATGTAGACACGTGGTTGCTCCGACACCCTTTACTGATAAGACCACGTTTTCCCTTGAATTGTGAATCAGGAGCACGGGGTCCCTTTGGGCTCCCATCCATTGTGTCCACGCGTTGGCATCCTGCGCGTGACCGCGACCTGCGGGCGACCGGGCGGGGCCTCCTTGTCCTGCAGCTGTGTTCTTTGTCCTCGATGGTGCCCTGGCCGGGCTCAGTTTTTGGAATTTCTCTGCGAGCTGTAGATTTACTTTCTTTGAATTCTGTGATATCTGTTGTGATACCCTTTTCACTCTTGGCTTTTCATTGATGGTTTGTTTTCTTTTTCTAGGGATTTTTCAATTTTATTTATATTTTCAAAGAGCTGGCTTTTGAGTTTGTTAGTTTTTTCTACTGTTTATTTTCTACTTAATTGATTTCTGTTCTTTACTATCTGCTTCTGTTTTTTTTAGGTTTAATTTACTGTTCTTTTTCCAGCTTCTTGAGGTGCAGGCTTTGAACATGGATATTTGAACTTTCTGTTCTAAATAAGCATTTAAAGTTACAAACTTCACCTAGAACTGCTTCAGCAGCGTCTCGTGCACTGTGACACGTCGTCTTTTCATTGTCATTCAGTTCAATGTCATTCAGCCCCTCCATGCTAACCCGTGGGTTAGGAGTATATTGCTGACGGCGTGATTATTAACAGTGGAGGGGCCTCCACGTGTCTCTGTGGCCGCTGTCCAGGTCACCTCTGCAGTTTAGTCATGCCTCTCGTGCGTGTGACCGCAGCACTGTGGCAGATTCACGGGGCCCAGGGAATGTTCTAGCTGAGAGCCAGCCTGCACATCCGTGGGCTCCCTCCCCAGCCCGGCGGTCGTGCCGAGAGCTTCGCGTTGTGTGGCGTTCTGCTGCGTTCATTTGGGTGACATCCTGTCTTGGGGACACTGGGCTTTGCGGTTACTGTGATACAAAGCAAGCGTCGCTGTGAGGCAGGAGGCAAGGGGCCGTCCCCCTCCCACTCCGCGTGCGTGCCGTGGCTGCGCCCTGCCTCTGCCGGAGGTCGGAAAGGCCTTGGGGAGAAGCTGGTGGTGCTTTGCTCCTGACAGTCGGTAGCGGCTGCTCTGATGAGGGGTGACCATGGGGCAGTCCCCGGTGTTCCTGTGGCACTGTTCTGCCCCCCGTGCTTCTCTCCCCCTGTTCCCAAAGCTTCATGGTGGGGCTTTCCCAGGCTTTGTTCTGGTCGTCTGGCTTGGACGTCTGTGGCACGACCTCTGCCTGCTGGTGTCCTGTCTGGAAGAGCCATGTGCCCTACTCGGGCCACAGAGGGTGGCGTCCAGCCCCTCCATCCTCTTCTGCTCTTTGTCAGCAGGTCTCCACCCTCACGGACCTCCAGCCATACATGCAGCAGTTTGTGGAGCATCTGCAGGAGACGGGCTCGCTGAGGGACGCCGTCGTCATCGAGCAGGTGCCCGGTGGGGGTCAGGCCACTGGGCGCTGCGCTGCATGGACTGTTTATCTGTCGGGAGGAGCGAGGCAGGGACTGACGGCGGCCGCTTTCCCGGCGGGAGGGTCCCCACCGTGTCCACTTAGCTGTGCTGCGTGGTGGGGACCGCTTCCGTGGGAGCAGCGCACTCTCCCTTTGTGCCTGGCCGCTCTGCTGTCTGCAGCTGCTTTCCTAGGGGTTTGCTAGAGATGCTTCTCCCTCAACCTTGATCTGGAGGCAAAGGAGAAAGTGTCCTCTTCCTTTAGGAGGGCAAGTTGGAATCGACCTGTAGACCCCCCTCCACCTGCCCCGCCACGTGTAAAATCCATTTTCCTTGGGAGCCGAGGCCCAGTTGTCAGTGGCAAATCTCCTTACGTGCTCTGTGGTCCTTTGCAGAATCTTTGTTTAGTGATTATTCCAGTTAGGGGACAATTGTGTCCATGAGGTGATGCTCTGAGGCCTCTGGATGAATTTCTCATGGTTCCCGGGCTGGTGTGGGCTCTAGGCACCCAGATCCAGTGCCATGGGGCCAGGCAGGTGCATTTTATATAGCAAGTACTGTCTGGGTTGCGGTGAGCATGGGGTCTGAGCCCAGTTGGACACACAGGTGACGTTCAGCCTTGTGCAAATGCCATCGGCCTTCGCAGACTCGGCCCCAGCTAGACTGGCCTGCAGCTAGCCCAGCCCCTCACCCCCCATGAAGAACTCACCCCATGGGTCTTACGTGAGGGCCCACACCGCCTCCTGGCGTCCTCGCGCCCATGCGCCCATCCTGCGTCTCTGCTCGCTCCTCCAGAGCTCCTCTCTGAATGAGACCAGCCGCAGCCTTTTCAATTTCTTCCTGCACTTCGTGCATGACAACATCATCAGGATTGGGGGCAGGTGAGTCGACGGGTCGTCTGGATTCATCTTGGATTGTGCCAGCTGGGCCGTGGCTACTCAGAGGCGGGTGGCACGAGCTGGTGAGATCCACTGACTGGCCCCTGCCACTTCACTCCCCTTGACTCTCTCAGCTTCCCCTCCCCACCAGGGCCCCTGGGAAGCTCCCAGGCTCCAGGCTGCACACCCCATGCCCCAGGGCACCAGGGACCCATGAGGCATTGACGTAGCCCGAGGGAGCTCAGGCCTGCTCCGTGCTGAGTGCGGTCATGTAGCTGAGCCTGCACAGGTGTGGGGTGTTGGTGTGTGGGGTCACAGGTGCAGCCCAGTGTTTGGGCTGCAGTCTGTAAGCTCCATGTGGCCACCACAGCTGAACACCTGAGTCTCCGGCTTCCTCTCACTTGAGCTTTCCAAATGACTTTTTATTCAGTCACATACCCCCTGGCAAGGGTGCAGGCCCCAGTCTCTGGCTCAGGCTTCCTGTCTGGAGAATGGAGCAGCGACCTGCAGGTCGTGGGACCTGTGCTGGCCACAGAGTGGGTGGGTGTGAGCCACAATGGGTCGTGGGCTGCCTGGAGGAGCCACTGTTGCCCGGCTGCTGGTGGGAACAACCAGACCCACTGCAGCAGAAGCTCACGGGGTGCCAGGGCAGCGGAACCTCGGCTGGCATGAAGGAGCCAGGACTCCCGTGGCCAGCAAGGCCCTCTGGCACTTACATGCTTTTATAGTCACACAAACAAAATCCAGCACTTCGTGGGCAAGTTTAAATATACTTCTTGCTTGAAATTTTAAAAATTAAGGGAAGTCATGATTAATCGGGGAATAGGGGTATTCCACACGCTAACTCTATCCACTGAAACCATTCCAGGTCACGGTGAGAGGAGGGGACGGGGTGGTAGGAGTACAAGTGCTGCTTCATTTGATGTGTTTTAGGTATTTGCAGACTGAGAGTGGTAAATACCATTTTCATATGTGCGTGCACACGTGTGCACACATGTGTGTGATCTGTGTGTGTGTGGTGTGTATGAATTCACGCATGTGTGCATGTGTGTGTAGTGTGGTTTGTGTACGTGTGCTTGTGTGTGGCATGGTGTGTGTCATGTGCATGTTGTACATGAGTGTGTATGTGTGCATGTGGTCTGTGTAGTGTGGTCTGTACATGTGTCGTGTGTGTGGCATGTGACATGCATGTGTGCATGTGTGTGTGAAACAGCACAAAGCCCACGTGGCCACCTGCCTGCCTCTTGCCACCCCCTAGGTCCTACGTGCAGTGCGAGTGTGTATGTGTGCATGTGGTCTGTGTAGTGTGGTCTGTACATGTGTCGTGTGTGTGGCATGTGACATGCATGTGTGCATGTGTGTGAAAAAGCACAAAGCCCACGTGGCCACCTGCCTGCCTCTTGCCACCCCCTAGGTCCTACGTGCAGTGCCAGGGCATCCCGCAGGGCTCCGTCCTGTCCACGCTGCTCTGCAGTCTGTGCTACGGGGACATGGAGAACAAGCTGTTTTCTGGGATCCAGCAGGACGGGTAAGGGCTGTGCTGTGCCTGTGGGGCTGACCCGCTCTCCACTCGTTTGGTGTTTCTGGTGCTCGAGATGTTAAGGTAATTTTGTCTTAAAGAACCAGACAAGTTTACGGCCCCTTCCTGGTGTGAAGCCGCGGAGGCGGCATCGTGCAGCCGTGCATGGAACCGCATGTGCGTCTGTCGAGGGCCGGGCCGGGTATTTGGTGCTTCAGGGGCCCCCGTGGAAGCCCAGCAAGCAGCAGTAAGTTCCCTGAGTCGCAGACGTCCGCACCGATCGTTGGAGAATGCCCCTGTCCACACTGCTCAGCAACTCTTCGAGATCCTGGGGCAGTGGGACTGACGAAGATGAAGCCCCTCCTGCCGCGCCTCCACCCCGGCGCCCACAGAGCCGCCTCCTGTCTGAACGGGGGTGGGGGCCTCAGGTGCGGCGCTGCTTGGCATCAGGGAGCCTCGTGTGGTTGGGATCGCAGCAGGCTTTGGTCGATGGCAGTTAACTCTTCATTATTAAAATAATATCCCCAAGAGAGGAGCCGGCAGGCAGAGGAGGAGGAAGCGTCCTGCCCGGCACCGTCTGCCCCACACAGCTGCTGACCGCACTGTCTCTGGGTTTTTCTTCTGGAGCATCTTTTAAAAACCTTGTTCTAATTATAGCACATTCACAGTGGATCCAGATTGTTCTTAATAAGGTTGAAGTTCTGGATTGAAATAAATTTACCTGGAAGAAACAAAACTTGACCTTTACTGCCAGAGCTTAGGCAGCTGCAGGGCACAATGCCACAGTGCATCCACGGCCCCAGGGCTCGGGGCTGGGGGTCCCTGAGGCTGTACGCAGTGTGGGGTCTGGGCCCTGGGCAGAGGCTGAGAGCCGCGGCTGCCATTGCCTGGTAATGGGCACCATGTGGCTCAGAGGAGGACCAGGCTCAGCGCCAGCACTTGCCACTTGCAGTCATCCCTTTGAGTCTGGGAGTCCGCACCACGGTGCACTGCAGAGCCTTGGCCTGCTCACCTGCAGCCGGCGTGGAGCCCTGCAGCCTGTGCCGGCCCCAGCACCTGTTTCCAAAAGCATTCGCGGTCAAGTGCAGGGAGAGGCTCTGCCAGAAGGACATGGAGCTTGTTGTTTACCCTCTCCGGAGAACGCCGTGTGTTCTTGTCTGTGTGGTGTGGTGTTCTTTCTGGTTTTGAAAGGTTGCGACACTCCATCCCTTTTAGACAGATACTGTGTAAGAAGTGTCACGGAGCCTCCCGTATCTTTCCTGACTCCAGGCTGCTCCTGCGTCTGGTGGATGACTTCCTGCTGGTTACGCCTCACCTCACCCATGCGAAAGCCTTTCTCAGGTACGTCCCTCACACGTGTGTCTTGGTGGGTGCTTCACAGCCTACACGTGATGGGCATGATTGTGCCCTTAAAGAGTAATTCTCTGCACCCGGAGTGCATGTTTTTGCCACCGTGCATCAGTGCTGAGCAGCACATGGCGTGCTCTGGGTCACCCTTCCTGCCATGCTGCTCTGCGAGAGTAGAGGTGGCCCAGCTGTGTAGACGGGCCGGGTACCCCAGTGGGTGCCACGTGGAGAGAGCACGGCTCTGCGGCCAGGCAGGCTCAGCCCACTGAAGCTCTTGGGACTCATGCACACACTGATGTGCTGGCCAGTCGCAACCACCTGTGAGCCGGTGATGACTCCTGTGCCCCACAGCTGAGATCCCAAAGGGGTTTGTGCAGGGGCCATGGGGCCCGTGACTGCTGCCTCCTGCCTGGGAGGCATGCCGTGTCCCGGGCCTGGTAGCGCCGGACGGGCCTCATGCAGGCGAAGATCAGAGAGGCACTGAGCATCTGCGACTTTCACTGCGGTCACTTCCCTTCCCTTTTCAAAATTTTTAAACAACAAAACATGTCGCTCACAATTGTGGAGGCTGGAGCTCTACAAGATCGAGGGGCCGGCAGGTGCAGTGTCTGGTGAGAGCCAGCTCCCCGGTTCACAGACGGTGCCTTCCAGTTGCGTCCTCATGTGGTGTGAGGACAGGGGTCTTTCAGGGGCCTCTTTATGAGGGCACTGGTCCCATTCATGAGGGCAGAGCCCTTTGACTAGATCTCCTCCGAAAGGCCCACTTCCTGACACCGTCACCTTGGGGGTTAGGCTTCAACATATGAATTTTGAGGGGACACAGACCACAGCAGCTGAAAAGTGTAGATGATTCTGAAAAGGGGCTGTAAAGAGACAGTCGTGGAAGGTCTTAGCACAGCGCCTACTTTCCAGAGTCACTTTTCTTTATGGGATTATTTGGGAGGGACTGGAGAACTCGGACTTGCTAAGTGACAGTGTGTTGAGGCTTGGGGATCCCATGGGGGGGTTGTTCTTAAAGTTGATATTTGTGGCTCACGCTGAATTCAGGCACTGGGACCTTTGTCCTAGATCAGTGTTCGTAGGACGTGGCCCCTCTCTGGATGCCGTGGGGTCTGTGGACTTGTTTTGAAGCAGAATGTTACAAGGGAAGAGAAATGATGACAGAAAACCAAACATCACAAAACGCTGCAGCCTGAGAGGTGGCTTCCCGATCGTTGGCTGTGGTCACCGGACATGGTCCCCCACCCGAGTCTGCCCAGGAAGGCCTCATGCAGTGGGGCTGCACCGTGCGGTTCAGTAGCCTGGAGTACCGTGGGCCATGCAGATGTAAACTCATTAAAACTAAGTCAGAGGACAAGCCCAGGTCCTTGGTGGCACTGGCCACACCTGAAGACTCAGAAGTGACATGTAGCCAGTGGCTGCTGGAGAGGACAGAGCAGACAGGGGACACTGCCCCTGTTGTGGAGGGTTCTGCAGGACAGCTCTGCTCCGAGGTCTCGGGAGAAGGCTTGGAGTGTATATCGGGGTCCCCTTGGAGATGGACACATGTGGACTTGCACATGTGGAGACACTCACTGCAAAGAGTTGGCTGAGGCTCTGGAGGGGGCAGATCAAGCACGTCCACAATCCTGGTGCGGTTGGCAGGAAGGGCAGGCTGCACCCTGGGCAGGAGATGAGGAAAGTCCACAGGGGACATTCCCTTCCCAGGGAAGGCTCAGCCCAGCTCCTGCAACACGAGTGAGGAAAACCTCCCTTACTTAAGGCCTCAGACTGTGGGTGTCGACCACACCTGCGGAGCACCTTGCAGTGGCACCAGATGAAAGCTTGCTTGGATAACTGGGACAGTCCCGGCTGTCCCAGTTCTAAGCTGGGTTCCCATACTCAATGGTTCCCCTGTACCCCATAAGACAGGACCAGCACCCAAAGTCCAGAGCACGGCCCCGTCCACCCTGCCGCTGGGGTGCCTGCTGGGTGCCTGTGGGCCCAGCACCCTCCGCTCCTGGGGCTGCCTCTCTGGGGTTTTACGTGGAACGTGGCAAGTGACTCGGGGTTCTCCTGGGCGACAGCTCTCATCCCGTGGCTCGTGTTGCTCCCTGACTTAGGACCCTGGTCAGAGGCGTCCCTGAGTACGGCTGCGTGGTAAACTTGCGGAAGACGGTGGTGAACTTCCCCGTGGAGGACGATGCCCTGGGTGGTGCGGCCGTCCTCCAGCTGCCCACGCACTGCTTGTTCCCCTGGTGTGGCCTGCTGCTGGACACCCACACCCTGGAGGTGCTCTGCGACTACTCCAGGTGAGCCCCGGCTGGGCGGGGCACCATGCCTGCCCTTGTCAGAGCAGACGGTACTGCAGACGGGTCCGTTCCCGTTCCTGCTTCCCAGAAAGTCGGCTCGCCGTGCACCCCCTTCCCGTACAGGAGTGCACAGGAGCATGTCTTTCTGTAGGGGCAGGAACTGCCAGGCGGGTGGTTTTCTGGGCTGTTTTGGTAAAAGGAGCTGGTGCGGCAGATGTGGGGCAGCGGCATGTCCTGAGAGGAGCAGACTGGATCTGAATCCAGGGGTTCGGGGGAGGGACGGGCACACGCGTTTGACGCCCTCTCCCTGGCGCAGCTACGCCCGGACCTCGATCAGAGCCAGTCTCACCTTCAGCTGCGGCTTCAGAGCCGGGAGGAACATGCGTCGCAAGCTCTTTGGGGTCTTGCGGCTGAAGTGTCATGGCCTCTTTCTGGATTTGCAGGTGAGTGCAGGCTGCAGAAGGCAGCTGCCGTGAGGCCTCTGTGGTGTGCAGGCCCTGTTCTTGTGTGTGCACATCTGTGCCTGTGTGTTAGCGTGTGCATGCAAGCGCGATGCACAGGTGTGCATGGCACATACACGTGTGTGCATGTGTGAGCA